ACATTTCTTAACCCTCTTACATGTTAAGTCAAGTAGTATAGCTTTACTAAGACCCTGTATTGCTATATTACAATATCTAGATTTAATTTAGATCCAAATCCAGATTGGTAGGAATGAAGATTGGATTAAGAAGATGAACCAACCCCTAATATCTCTCGCAGAAGATATATCTCTCTTGAGAGATGCTTATAATTTCCATAATATTAATTCTATTAGCTAAATTTTTTTTATTTATTTGTTTATTTTGATATAAATTATTTTGATTTACATGTTATACAAACCCGTGTTTCAAATACCTGGTGTTTAATTAGTTTTTTTTAAAGTGTTATATATATTTAATTTTGCTAATTAAATTTACAATTACAAAAATACTTATATATTTTTTAAAATATTTGCTACAAGAAAAATAAAATTAAAAAATATAATTTATTTATTTTATAATGTAAATTTCTTAAAAGAGATAAAATTACATAATTTTAATTAATTATACATATTGCTGCATTAAAAAAAATATTTAATAAAAATAAAGCTTCAACACCGTATATTATACATATAACCAAATTAGATATTTAATTAATCTCTTGAATAGCGATCACAATTTGACGCCCAACCCAGGTTGATTGCTACATATTTAATACATTTATCTTATTCAAACTTTGGATCGTAAAACTTAAAAATTGCTTTAGTTAATTTTACTTTAATACGTATTAATCTATAATATATACGTAGTATAAACTTTTTTTGACAAAAAAGTCTTGGACATCCAAAATGTGTACTAAGCGCACTGGCCATACGAATTTAAAAAATAACCTTATAAAAAATAACCATTAAAAATTACCGTACCTATCACGTGATACTGTACCTCTACTTCGATCCTGACTATAACATGCCTAAAAAACGACTATCAAAATGCACAACCCTGCATAAGAATACAGAGAGCACAAGCTGTTTGTATCACTACAACATACGTAAGTCCATCCATATCGTGCAACAAACGAAAAGTGGATGATATATGTGCGCACAAGCCTACGTATGAATAATAAATTTGCCAAGTTACCAATATCGATATAGAATTGATTAACGACAAGATGAAATAATTATCATATTGGCGCAAAGGAATATCCTATTGGAAGTTAAAAAATTTCACACGTTAACAATTTTGTTATGTTAGTTGACTAATTTATAGTTTATATAATATACATATAAAGAAAAAAGGAAATCAGGTAAGGAATGTTGACATGTAAAAAGCTGTAGGCTTTCATTGAAGTGAAGCACTCCCAACTGTAGGTATAAAAATAAAATTTAAATTATAAGAACACAAAGACTAATGCTTACCATAAAAGAATTTTGCATCACTCTTTGTTCTTAAAACCTTCTACTTTCTCTTAACACGCACGTGAAATATGAAGTGCATATTAATGAATAGTACTTGGTATTGTTTCTAATCTTTAATTTCCGTTTAAAATTGGATATTTTCGTCACAGATTTTTTTTGGTAAAGTAGAATCTTACTAGATAGCACTCCATTGTTCTTTGGTTGCAATTGAGTCAAATATGGTAGTATTTCATGCATGGTTCCACATTTCTGTCAGCTGGATTAGGCTGACCTAAAGGATTGGGCGTGATATACGTTGCCTGATTAGGTTTTAAGTTGTTATTTTATATTTTATATTTCATTATATATATTAATGTAAAGGTGTAAGGTACCCACACCAATATGCATTACCAATGAGTAACTTGTATCACAAACTTACCATTTGAAATACTCACATAATCATATAAATTGTACTATATATAAAGTTATCGAAATTCACTTACGTATTTCAAAACTTAGAAGCAATAAATATTTATATACGTATATCTGCGTACATACAATAAACCGAAGTTACTGAGCATAACGTTACGTACGTATCCTTACTAACTGGTTCCTAATTAATCGAAAGTTCTGGTGGTCTTTTTTGTCACATTCGGCCGAAAATAGTTTTCAAGTTTCTTTATATTTATCTACTCCCACAATATCTCTTTATAGAGTTCTCACGAGTCGCTCAAGTATGACTGCTGATCACACAACTCCTTACGCAATTTATGGATTTTTTCGTTCTTTTAGAGGCTCGCTGCCTGACGAGCAAGATTTTGAAGACTTTGTCTCCACTTTGACCATCACTCCTTTACATGCTGTAATTGAGAATGTTGTTCCATTTTTTCGTCGTTCGACCGATCCCGACTTGCTTACAAGGTTTCAAGTGATGATACGTCAATGTGAACAAAATTCGGCCTTCGAAAGTACTTTTATGAGGGTCTGTGATGCTTTGGATATGCTTCAGAGGGTTGAAAAAGCTTTGAGATTTGATAAACGTTTGATGGATGAGTATTTACGTGCCATGCAATTTGATAATGCCTCCGCTAGCCATCAACAAGTGTGGAATGGTCTGCAAAGATTTTTGAACGAAGAATGCGATCCTCACACGAAACGAAGAATGGAAAGGGTGTTTGCTGAACAAAAAGCTAGTGATGAACTTGGTATGCGCATCTAGACTGGTTAATTATTTCATTTAGTTGATCACATGCATATTCTTTTATTTTAATGTTTATTTAATTTGCTTTACGTTAATAGGTTTAAGTGATGATGTTCTTGCAGTTGCTTACTCCCTGATTGGTGATGATGCTTTATATATAGAAATCCTTGAAACTCTTCAACTAAACAATCGACAAAATCTACCGTGGGATACTGTTATCGATAAAATTCAAAGAATCACCTCCGAAAAAAAACCTCAAGCTTGGCCAATGCTTAGCAAATTTTTGAATGATGTACATAGTGGCCATGGTACGTAATTATTATTATTATTGTTCGATATTGCATACTATATTATTTATATGCATTATTACCACTTGATAAATTTGGCTTAATTATTAACCTTATATATTTGACTTAGATGTGTCAACATATTCTGTGTGTTGGGAAGAATATCTAGACGATGACATCGTCGACGATGAAGAATATGAACCAGAGAATGATTTCTCCGTAATTGAGCAAAAGTTCAGTGATATTAATCTT